CTGTGGCTCAAGTGGTAGAGCGCTAGCCTTGAGCTGAAGAGCTGAGGGACAGCGCCCAGGCCCAGAGTTCAGGCCCCACGACCAGACCTCTCCCCCCCCCAAAAAAAAGAATAGTCTTCTGGGTGCCATTGGCTCACGCCTAGCTACTGAGGAGGCTGAGATCTAAGGATCGCAGTTCAAAGCCAGCCCAGACAGGAAAGTCTGTGAGACTCTTATCTCCAATAAACCACTGGGAAGTGACGCTGTGGCCCAAGTGGTAGAGTGCTTGCCTTGAGCTGAAGAGCTCAAGGACAGCAAATACAAGCCCCACAACAACAACAACAACAACAAAGAATAGTCTTTCTATTCCAAATGTCATTTTGTGGGGGGGTTGGGGGAGAATATGTCGGTCTGGAAAGAAGAGAGGCACTTCTGCTCCTTCCCTAGGGTCTCACCAGAACGCTGGGGTAGATGGAAGATGGAGGCAAGATGTGATCACGGAGCAGCCCACCGTCACACTCAGGGCCCATGTTCTGCAGGCAGTCGTCGTGGATCTGAAGGACAAGATGGACACACAGAGATCATGCAAGTGACCTGGTCACCTCACAATGTGGAACTCTGGATTGGAAAGCAAGCTCTTGGGAACAGGCACAACTGCATCTGTAAGGGAGATGGGGATTTGTGCAGGGAAGGCTGTCACCACTGGGGCTCCCAAACTGACCTCTAGGTGGCACCATACACAATGCAGCCCGGTGAGACTGTGGAAGGTCCGGATCTTTTTCTGACAACGGTCACAGCGCCCAGACTCACAGCCTCCTCGCACCCATACGTGAGATTGGATCTTGGGGAGAAAGGCAGCCTCTTGTCTGGGAGGGTCTGAGTAGAGACTGGGGGAAGGAGGGGTTGAGGGCAGTAACAGGCTAAGGACCCAGGCCAGGATAGGAGTGGAGGGAGCATGGGGTCACTCACACCAATGTCCTTACGCGACTTGGCATACGTGCTGACTTCACAAGGCATTGCCTTCATGGCACACTGGTCATGAACAGTATACTTGCACACTGGAGAAGAGGGAAGAAGGTCAGAGCCTTATCATGGCTTTCCCTCTCTTTTACTTTTCTTACTTAGACAGGAGAAAAGATCACTGGAAGACCACCTGACATCCCTTTCTAACAAGAGTATGGCAGTGTATGGCTAGTAGCTGATGCTTATAATCCTAGCTACTCAGGAGGTTAAGATCTTAGGATTGGAAGTCAGCCTTGGCAGACAAATCCAAGAAATGGAGGTGTGGCTCAAGTTGTTAGATACCAGCCTACGGAACAAAGCTAAGCAAAAAGTGCAAGGCCGGGGCTGGGAAGGTGGCTCAGTGGTAGAGCGCTTGCCTTGCATGCCTGAGGCCCTGGGTTCAATTCCTCAGCTACCACATAAGCAAAAAGAAAAAAGCCGGAAGTGGCGCTGTGGCTCAAGTGGTAGAGCGCTAGCCTTGAGCTGAAGAGCTGAGGGACAGCGCCCAGGCCCAGAGTTCAAGCCCCAAGACCGACAAAAAAAAAAAAAAAAAAATCTCATGGACTTTCCTGCCCAGACTGACTTTGAACCATGGTCCTCCCTCCTATCTAAGCCTCCTGAGTAGCTAGGATTACAGGCTTGAGCCACTGGTGCCTGGTTGGCGTGTGACTCTTATCTCCAATTAACCACCAGAAAACAGTTAGTGAGGAGTAATAGAGGACTAGCCTTGAGCAAAGGAGGTCATGAATAGCGCCCAAGCCCTGAGTTCAAGCCCTAGGACTGGCACCTACATACATACATACCACAAAAATAAATAAATAAAACCCTGACACTAATAGGTTTAAACAGAAAGGAAAAAACCAAACGACAACAACAAAAGAACCTAAGCTGGCTGGACATGAGGTGAATGCTTGTAATAGCCTGCAAAGAGGCTGAAGCAGGTGCTGGGAATGTGGCTTAGTGGTAGCGTGCTTGCTAACATGAAGTCCTGGCTTCAATTCCTCAGTACCACATAAACAGAAAAGGCTGGAAGTGTGTTGTAGCTCAAGTGATGAGTGCTAGTCTTGAGCAAAAGAAGCTCAGGGACAGTCCCCAGGCCCTGAGTTCAAGTCTCAGGACTGGAAGGAGGAGGAGGAAGAGGAGGAAGAACAGGAAGAGGAGGAGAAGAAGGAGAAGAAGGGCTGGGAAGGTGGCTCAGTGGTAAAGCGCTTGCCTTGCATGCTTGAGGCCCTGGGTTCAATTCCTCAGCACCCATAAGCAAAAAAAAAGCGGGAAGTGGCACTGTGGCTCAAGTGGTAGAGCGCTAGCCTTGAGCTGAAGAGCTGAGGGACAGC